TAGACTTGGTCAAAAAGGTATTTTCTTTTGAAATGTTCAGCTTCTCGTTAAAAAGAAAAAAACCCAAATCCATACCCTTTTGCTCAGAGATGTATTTGTTTAAGATTTTATCCGTGGTACATTGTGTCTTAACGGAACTATACCAAGATGTGCCACACCAGTTTGCCAGGTCTCAAGCCCCATTGCATCCTGCCATTGCAGTAAGCTGTGGTGACATATCACAAGGGATATGGTCTAGCAAGGACATTGGCTCATAACATTGAATTTGAGCCTATAAAACCTTCTGCACAGCTCTGCTGAGGCAATCTGTGTCCAAATCAATCTTTTTAGTACCAGTCAGGTTTTTCTTATTAAAACTCAACATTTTTCACTAGAAGTAGAAATGTAACAAAATTTTAACTTAATAGAAATCTCTGTGCTTTTTTATTTTCCAAAATACAGTTTTAGCCCCACTAATGTATCCAGTTGCTTTGGCTTTGTGTTTAACATATGTTAACATGCCCAGATTATACAGTTATAGGTACTAACAATAATTTCAGATTATAACAGTAGGTTGAAAACTTTCCACTGGGTTTATCACTCACTCTTCTTTTCACTGGAATATCCCATTTTTTAGACCAATTTTGGGTTTGAAAAGCTACACTTGCAAAAACCAAAAAAAAGTATGTAACATTTAAAGTTGTGTTTCAATGCGGCACCAAAGGCATGGCAGTGCAGAAGAGATATTATAATAGAAACACAATACTTGGAAGGAAGAATAAATTGATAAACTTTTAAGCCTGGAGGAGTGCAATATATATATATATATATGTGTGTATATATATATATTTTTTTTTATGAGTTCCAGCAGTATAGAGTAGGAGAAATAGCATACATATATATGCATAGATATGTCATATATATATACACACATACATATATATGTATACAAACAGTTTTAGCATAGCACTGTCACGTTCTTAATCTATAAGACAACATGATTGAAATCAGGTGGTTTGGGTTGACTCTGGCAGGGATCTTTATGATTTTTAGATACTAAGTACATTCTTGGAGTATAAAAACGTAAAATGTTGTAAAATAACTCATACCTGAGATCCAAAGGCTACAAATGCCTTTGGCATTGATTTCAAACCAGTGCTCATACTGAGTGAAAATATTTAATATTAAATGCAAAGAAGATAATGGTTGATAAACTATTGTACAGATAAAGCACTATTCCAAATGCAGCAAGTGTCAGTAGTGATGCGATATTGGAGGTTTCAATTACTATTATAATGGGAGCAGGAACATAGAACCATAGAGACATATAGAACATATGTGACCACGAAGTACAATCATAATACATAACTGATCAAGGATTACTTGAAAAAGAACCAGGAAAAAAGGTTTATCTATCACGTAGACTTCATCTGCTATAGACAAGAGTTTTTAAAATATTTTCACAATGTCTTTTGTTCAAAAAATTTGAGCAGGACTTAGATGTCCTCCTGGGGAAAACATCTCTAATGACACTGCAGGAGAAATCTCTGACAGGTTTAATGCAGGAATTAAATAAAAGGGTTCATTTTACATATAAAGACAAGAGCAACCTTTTTCTTTCTTTCTTCTTGGAGGGTCATATTCAGTTAGAACCGGGCAATGACATCTTTATAGGAAGTCTTTAATATTTGATAGACAAAGGGAAAATTATAAGTGAGAACAGTTTAGCACAGAAGTCATGGCTTTCCTCCCTTCTCTCACTGTTTGCTGAGTTAGCTTGAAACTCTTCTGGAAGGGACTGTGCAGCCCAAGCTCCAAGAGGCTAGCCGCTGGAGTTTGAGGAAAATACACAGCAGACTTTTTAAAGCTATTTTCTCTGTTTCTTCAGGCCAAGTTCTCTTTGTTCTACTTGCAATGCCTAGTGACGCTATGAGACTTGGGGACTCAAAGGCAAAATGAATTTGAGCTAATAATACTTGTATCAACTGTGCAATGACTCATAAAATAAATATATTATTTCATTTGCTTTGGTTGGTATTGCAGCACAGTTCACCACACTCTGTCCTAAAAAAAGCCTTGTAACCATCAATTATTGGGGCAAAACAATACAGCGCTACTCCTGACATCCAGTGGTACTCACCAACGCAATCAAATCCATTTCCTTGGTAGCCCTGTTTACATTTGCATTTGAAGGATCCTTCGGTGTTGAGGCACTCTGCATGGAGGTTACACCTGTGTATATTTGCCACACATTCGTTTACATCTAGGAAAAAAAAAACTGCATGGAAACTTGAGCTTCATGACAGCCTGTTTGCGCCAGCCATCTGTTTTGTAACCACTACTTCTAGACCAAGACGGTCCAGAGACCATCAGAAACAGAAGAATTCACACTAACGTCAGCTCCAACTGCACAACTACTGGCGTATGCATCCATGGAAAATGTAGAGCATCCCAGTGAAGACAAAGTGAACAAAGTGATTTTCTGTCTGAGAAAAGGATTCAAACTAAAGGTTGCACACACTGTTCTATCAACAAAAAGCAAAAGGCACCAAGAGAACGTGTGACATCAATTAAAAAACGATTCACTAAATCTTTCTCATTCTTTCCTTCACTCTAGAAGAAATGCAATGAAAAGTAACCCTGAGTGTGCAAAGATGTTGAGATCTTCTATCTACCTCTTAACATTCCAGCATACATATGATGCTGTATGACACAAGTGTAATCAGGAAAAAATCAGTAGAAAATACTATGTTCAACTGACAGCAAAATGTACAGGCATCAAGAGTAACTGATTTTGTTCTCCTTTTCATGTCTTTTGCTACATCACAAAGATGTTTCTGATTTCTCCCACATGAGGGAGCCAAGTTGTTGCACAGATTTTTGCACCACTTTTATCCAGACTGCTTCATTTTTAGTAGCTGACAGGTCCTCTCATAATCTAAGTCAGCTAAGAGACAAGTCACAGGAAGACTGACTCAAAAATATGGTACATCTGAGAGCGAGATTCAGGTTTGCAGATAAAATCTTCACTACTGAGACCTCTCCAGTTTCTTCCCCATGCACACATGTTGTATGGAAAAGTATTTTTTCCACTTTAAGACTCTCAGGGTTTGCATACAACAGGAAATGCAAGCCTGAGTCTCCAAAACCTGCCTGATGATCTCCCTCCCACCCCTAACTCCCAATACCAAGCAAATATAAACAAACCCCATGAATTCTCTTTTGTATGCACTTCTTGTAGTAGTTCCAACCCTTCCAGGCCCTCCTATAGTCAGCTGCTTCAACAATACTGCTGCAGTGCCCGCTGCAGTAACTTACACTTTGTTGTTCTTCTACCATTCAGCTAATGGATTGAAACAGGAGTAAAGGTGTTTTGATATTTGTTTTAAAACCTGGGCATGTTGAGATAACTTTTTGCCTGTATTTACTTTTGTTTGGGAGAAACTTAGGCATGCAAGAGAGACCTGAGAAGTAATTAAACCCTACTATTTTCATACTTTATTTTTAAAGTTCTGTACTGTCCATCTAAACAACTGTTTTTACAGCCATGAAGGCACTTGATTCATATTCTTCATTAAGGACACACAAAAAAAAAGAAAAAAAATAGATTGTGGGACTGCTTGTTCATCACAGGTTGAAAGCCAAGAGGACAAAAAATGGCTCTTTAACTAAACCTGTATCAGAGGTAGCACTTTTTTGTAGCCAACTATTGCTAATGTACTATAAGCCCTTGCACATCTTGACTTGGTACAATGAGGCAATTCAATTTGCAAGTGCCCATGATTAGGTTTTTCATAAGGCCACAGAGAAAACCCAGAGAAACGTTCAAAGTGTCACCAAGAATATTCTTAGTGACATCTTTTATCCACTTCTGAGGCAGCCTAGGCCAAGATGCTTCAGGCAATGACAGGAAAGATTCACTGTGTGGGAATGAAAAAGAATGAAGAAGGAAAATTCCTGGGCTAAATCTTACCTACACAGTCATAATGGCCACTGACGTATTTCAGTTCATAACCAAGCTGGCACTTGCAGTAGTAGCTTCCAAATGTGTTGATGCACCTGCGGTTGTAAGAGCAGACAGCTCTGCCAGTGGAGCATTCATCAATGTCTAGAGCAGGAGAAGGGATGCTGGTCAGATCCATGAGGAAGTCAACCAGGAAAGCAAGAACTAGTTAGGATTTGAACAGGAACGGTTTGGTCTTGGCTATCACAAGTTGTTTAATAAAAAAGTCCTATAATTTCACACTTGGGGATGGCTTTTGCATGATGTAATCTAAATGAATCAGCAAAATGTGAACTAACTTTATGGAAGATTTTGAGACCTGGCACAGTAAAAGAAAGGGCAACTGGCACTGGGAACTATGATTTCCCTTAAGGTCGTGGAGCAGGGCCAGGAGGAACATCACATCACAAATTCCATTATTTCCCTGAGACAGGAAATGCCAGTGAATAGTTTAAGACAAAGACCCAGAAACAGGAAACTGAGAGGAGGAGGAGGAGGAGCAGCAGCTCTTTCTACTCAATCTCTGCACCTCCCCTTGCAGGGCTAAGTCAAGACATAGCTCGAAGAGTTTCCAGACTGCGGGTGGTCTGCCAAGCAAGGCAGGTGACACGGACAGTTTTGGAGAGAGGAGGCGGCTTTGTATAGGAGGAACCTAGGAACATTATTCAACAACCATTGCATTTTGATATGTTTTGTTGTAATGTCAAATTTAAAATAGTGCCGATTATGATATTTGGCATTTGTCCTTCCCTATCACATTTTAGCACATAGCAGTGACGTGGCACATAATTCATCATGCCACGCTGCTGCCCTTTACAGCTTAGAACTGCTGTGACTTGTTGATGGACACCACATTCATCTCTCTATCATTTCTACCATTCTTTTACAGTGCTTAGGTGATCAAAGGAAAGTGGACAACAAAAGAAAAATACTTAAACAAACCGTAGTCAAAAAAATTCCCTCTTTCTGCCCATGCTACACATTTCTGATGATGGTCTCTGTTCCCTGGCCTCCAGGGCATTCTGAGACCTCTCTAGGTTCTCAATTCTCTGGCAGGACCAGGGCTGGTCTCAGGCTGAAGGACAAGCCTGCTGCACTTGATCCAAGTGTGAAGCAATGAACGCTGAAGACTCACCATACTCTTAGAAACAACAGATTTAGGTTAATGAATTTTTTTCATCTATAATCATCATTTTATTTCTTTCACCTATACACATGTAGAAGAGGAAAAGTGAAACACATTAATGTGCTGTTCTGCTCTGCAGGTCTAGGAATAATGCAGCTTCTTAGGAGGATTAAGCTAAGACTAATATCCAGGGATCTTCAAATGTTTATCTGTTGATAGTGTTTCTATGACTAATACCAGAGTATTAGAGTATCTTATAATCTATTAACCATTATGCTATATGGCAGGATGTTACTATCCCTCTTATTTTATTGATGGAGAACTGGTGACAGAAAACCAGTGACGTATCACAAGTCTTGCAGAAAGAGGTCTGATATTTCCAACCACTGGACAAACCTTTTTGTCCATTTTACCTTCTATCATATGTATCAGCATTCTTCCAAATCCATTTGAGCAGGCAAGGTAAATACAAATGAACTCAATACAAAAGAAAAAAAGGGTTGCCTGAATAATTCAGTAAGAGATTTAAGAGAACCACTTATTTCGTCTATTGTATCTAAGTACATACGTCTACAATGTTCACCTTCAAATAGCTCTTAAATAATTCAAACATGTTAACTGCAACTGGTAGCAGTCTGACAGCCCTGCTGATTACTCAAAGCAGGTAATTCCCAATTACAAACTCATTTGAAAGAAAGAAATGGCTTTCTCATGTTGGAGTGTTTATAGTTTGGAAGCTGAGCCAAGTATCCATATGGGTTTATCTGATAACTCCTGAAAGTGATACAGTAGTCCCAGGCCATACAACCTTCATATATGACTTGATATTACAGCTGTGTGTTAAGGAGAACAATTCATACAGCAACTGTCCTTCTACACAGCAGTGTCGGTACATTTATTTAATCTTTTGTTTGAAATGTTAAGTGTAATATTGTTTTGGCCATTGCAGCTAAAATTCATTTGTTATGTTTGAATGTTAAACCTCTCAACACCTAAAACATTCTTTAAGCTGTAGAAATCATTCAACCAGTATATATTGGTAAGCAGCATCAGAAATGGATTAGCTACTGTTATTCTTCTTTGTCCATAAAGTATCATGTCCAAGCTGCCCTTTATGGTCTGAAAGACTTGCACCATTGTGACAGAAAGAATGTAAAAATATGTGAAATTGTCAGTGTAATTCGGTATGTTGCTAAAGGCATTATAGTAAATAGCACTTGCTGCAAAAATTTTTTTCACACAATCACAGAATGATTGAGGTTGGAAGGGACCTCTGGAGGTCATCTGGTCCAACCATCCTGCTCAAGCAGGGACACCTACAGCCAGTTGCCCAGGACCATGTCAAAACAGCTTTGAGTATATTCAAGGAGAAGTTTCCATTCTGTTTTCCATTCTATTTGAGGCAGCTCTGGGAAATAAAATATTTCCCCGCTGCAATTTTCAATCTTCTATGCTTGCCTAAATGGAATAAAGATTAAAAAAAACCCACAAAATATCATTCCTTGGGGTTGACTAGGGGTGTTACCCATTTAGAGGTAGGTGGGACTGGGAAAGAAAAGTGAGATTGGGGAAGAGGGAAAGAAGGAAACAAAAACCATCATCTGGATGATTTTTTTTTAAATTGATATTGTCCAAATGCTAGAAGTTAGCATTTTACAGGAAAATGTACTTAGTGATTCAAAAGGATGACTTGCATTTCAAGAATTAGATAAAGCTATTGTAAAGAAGAAATCTGGAACTGAAAGTTCTTTTGTTTTTTTCACATGTGGAGCTCTGCCACGGGTCCTTTTTTAAAATGAAATGGCATAAGGTACATGCAAAGCAGTATTTCCCTTAAATTTAAATCAAAGAGCATCTGGTCTAAAAAATGAACACTTTCAGAGCCTTTCAGGTTTGTCTGTGATGAACAGCAACAAGAATAACCAGCTTTTAGAGAGATGCCCGGGCAGAACCCAGATGTGATTTATCAGGGCACAGCCCTGCCAAGGCTGTGGTCAAACGCAGCTCCCAGCCCTGCTCCTGCTGCTCCCTGACAGGCACTTCGCTGCCCCTTATTCTCTAGTTGTTGGAGTGGTCTCTGCTTTGGAGGGCTTACTTCTACGGGGTTTTGAAAGGAGGTCACTTAGCTCCAATACTGAAAAAGGGTACCATTTCAGCATTGGATTTCAACGCTGTAGCGCTGCTTTGTCAGATGACAGTGTAAAAGGATATCTCAGAACAGTACTGAGTGGTTTAAGTAGTGCTTTCTTCATCACACAAGAAAGCCCCAAGTAAACTGATGTTGAGGCTTCCGGAGAAAAATCTCGAAGCTTTTGCTGTGGGTATTCACAGGAAAAGAAAAAAGCCATCCAAACACAACCCCCAAATCCTTATAATGCATTATGTCAGTAGGACAGCTTCCTGTGGGAAAAAACATTGTAGACCCCAGAGCAATAGGGAGAAACTGAATCTGTTGATGACTCCAAATTATGTCAAACATTGAATTATTTATTAGGATGGAACTCGCCCAAAGAATTACATGGCCAATATTATGAGAACAGTTTTTTAAAAAGCGTGCAAGCTTTAAATCAAATTATGAGTAACAAGAAACATTACTCAAGCCAGTGAGGAGAACTAACTACTCGTTAACCTTTCCCCAGACTCTTAAATTTTTTTGGATCCTATAGAAAAGAAACTGAGAGTGAGTTCTCTAACCGTACCAATGCATGTCCTTCCATTCGGTCCCAACTGAAGGCCACCTGATGGACAAAGACACCGTACCTCCCCTTTGACTTCTTCACATCCGTATTGGCAATTCACCATGGCACATGTCCTAGAACCTGAAAACAGTATTTAAAATAACAAAACCAGAAAAAAAAACCCTAGGCTGTGATCACACACTTAAAATTAAGTCAGATCTGGGTGAATGCAGAAAATTAATCAGAACAACAAAGCTCCTTTCATCATTAATCAAACTGTTTATGCATTAACACATTAGTAATACAATTCAGGAGTCCATGAGATAGAACTTAAACTCTCCCTCTCCTTCGCTTTGTTCTTTCCTTACTTGCCCTTATTTCTCCTTTTTTGTCTGCTCCCATTTCTGTGACTTCTTACTACTACTACCTTTTAGATTCAGAGGCAGAACTGACCAAAGCAGAAAAAAGTTGGGTTTTTTTTATATTTTCCATTGCAATAGTTTTACCATACAGGAAACTCTTATTCAGTAGTGAATTGTATTTATTGCTTACCATTAAACATGCATCTAGCATAGAATTTGATTAAAAAACCACTATTTAGCCTGATGGACTTAAAACCTGCCCTTTAGTTTAACTCTTTAGGGAGCAGATACCTGAACCTAATGAGGCACTAGCCAGAACACAAATCTTAGCTGCCATAGCTTGGTTAGGAGAACCAATATTGGAGATGACTCCGATTAGCCTCTAAAGAGAAATGTAGGGTCTAGATCCTGCCCGAGAGACCTATGAGAGGGTAGAGAAGCAGGAGAAATGTAATAAATATGTAGGGAGATATTTCTAAAATGCTGAAAATATCCAGAAAGCATTAGTGTTATGATTCCAAGCAGAGAAGTAGTATTTGGAAGCGTCTACTGGAAGAGATGGAGGTGTGTGCAAAGAAAGTACTTCTGGCTGCTTCACTCTGGTTGTGTTCAGGGAAACAGAATGGTATATAGGTTCCTTGTAAGTGGGAAACCTGGAACAGTTGTTGGTTTATCTGAGACAGAAACCAGCTGCAAGAACTTGAAACTAGCTTACCACTTAGGTAGAAAATTATATGAATTTTATTTTAAAATGCAATGTGTTTATTGTCAGAGGTACTAGCACATTCAGAAAGGTCTATAGAAAACAGAACGGTGTATAGAAAACAGCAATGCATGCAGGTACATATATAGCTACAGCCATATTTGATTATAAAATATAATGCACATTAGTTCTGTGTGCTATTAAAATTAATCTGTTTAATCTGTGATAAAATTATTTTTCTTGGACTGGTTTGTTTACACTTTGTGGCTAAGTGATAAATATTCAAGGCCAAGAATTCACTGTATTTGCAAATGCATTTCACTTGTGTATGAATGAGAACATGCGGGAGGTAAAGAGTTAAAGAAAGATGGACTGTGAATCATAATACTTAGTCACATCATCTACTTCCTAAGTGGTAATAAAGAAACTTACTAAACTTTATTCTTCTCTAATTGGTAATTGTCCATTTTGTCTTTTGTTTGAAGCTCCTATTCTGCTTTGGTTAGACACAATACTGGCTTAGACTTTGCGTTAGGTACTAACCTATGATCTGTTCTAAACAATGGTTCTCTGTGGCCCAAAGCCATGTTTTTCTGATAGCCTTCTTCCAGCTCCACTGTCCCTTGGTGTGGCTGCAGAGAAGCCTGACTGCTCAGACTTAGGTGGATTCCATCTTGCTAAGGAGACTTACAACATAGAGAATTTAATTCAGAAGGAGGAATCATTATGCTCAAAAATGTTTGCCTGAATCAAACGATGAGAATTCTAGAGTTGGTTAAATAATCAAGCATTTCATCTGAGCACAAGCTTAAGTGAGCATCAAGTGAAATGGAAAGCTAGCAGACTTAACCAAGAATAATGTCTACTGGAATAAATAATTTACTACTTCATTTCATAATCATAGTTTCTGCTGAAGAAAAGAAAGGCTCTTTGGAACTGGAAGATGGCAAATGGGTTGGGTTAATGAAGCACAAGCTGGATGAACATTTTTTGCCTTCTTCACTAGAGCTGTGAAGAATGAAGGCTTCTATGGGAAACCTGGTTTTCTCCCTGAAATTTGGTGTCACTCTGTGTCAGTGTTTGTCGGGGTTCCACTGAGCAATAATATTTCCGTGTGCCAAAGCAAAACACAAGCTCCAGGGCTCACAGCTGCTCAAGCAATTTTTTCATATATGCTTGACACTGGCCACTACTGCTGCTGAGAAATTCAGCATTTTGTGCTGGCTTAAGCAAGAGATGGTGCAACTGCACATTTGGTACAAATTTGATACAAATGCAGAGTTTCTTAAATCAGGAAACCAGTCCTGAACTAAGACTGGCTTAAAGCTAAACTAGCAGAAATGGTTAGTAACAGCATGGATCTAGTTTTCTGACTTGCTTCAGAAGCGTGGCTACAGCAAGCATCTGTGCTCAGAGGAGCAGGAGTGAGGGAAGGATGGGACAAAGATGCTGCTGGGCTCAAAAGAGACAATTTTCTTTTGACTGTCATTCTGGTTTCTGCCAACTTCAGCTGTCCATAAGACAGTGGCATTACTGAAAACTGCTCAGTGTATGAATTCAGCAGATACACAAATTATCTTGGAAGAAACGGAAGGAACACATATGCATTTCCCAGGGATCTCAGGGTGCCACAGCTGTTGTCTGCTGGTGATACCCACCATGAGCAGTAATGCAGAGGCACAACCCTGAGCCGCACTGCAGGGAAGGGAAATCCTCCAGAAGCTCTTCCCCCAGGCACCTTTGGCAGCAATTTCAGGCTCCCTGCCACGAGAGAGAGAGTAGGAGCTCTGGCTTTTCTGCCTGCCCCAGAGCTGCAGACCCTGCACTCCTGCCAGCGTTTACCAAGGCTGGGTATTTTTTCAGTTAGCCCCAAGCTGACAGCAAACTTGCCGGATGGACACCCTGCCTGGTGAATCATGGTCTCTGAGGTTTGGAGATCAAAACCTTTCAGAGTTTATAGTTCTCCGTCATATCCACGGGAAAGATTGTGCTGCACCCCATACAGCCAGGCCCATTGCTTTAGGACAGACCTCTCAAGCAGACTGTTTCACTGCTGAGACCAACTAACTTACTCGTCCAACTGATGCATCTGCTTCAGTCCCATGGACTCCAGAAAGGGTTGTCACCATGTTGCCTAGGGTTTTGCAAAATTCAAATCCAAAATACCTATATGGGACAGCTCAGGTGAAGAAAAAAGTATTTTCTACAAACAAACCAGCATCACTGAAAAAGAGGAAGCTTCCTCAGGTCTGAAAAATCAGGTTGGCTAAGAAAGCAGAATACTTTCCATTATGTTGCTAGCTTAAAGACAAAGAAAATAGGTAGAAATACAGTTTAGATAAGCCTTAGCTCAGTGAACAAATGTTTACAAGAAGCTGGTGGCAAGTATGGGAAGCATATCAACATTCAGCGAAGATAAATGAGTCAGGGACCACTCAAAGGTAAAGCAAGGAGTAATGGCATGAAGTTCAGCACAGCAGAAAATAGTCTACTTTGGCGCTTTGCTTGGATAGATTCATTCATCCTTATTCAACAGATGAACTGGCAGGACCATACACTAAGGTTATACTAGCTGTCTATCTGAAGTAACTCTATCAAAGATTTTTACTCCTTGCAGGACAAAAATTCCTCTGAGCACCAAAATACAAGTATGACCTATTTTACTTTATTCAGATACTGCCAAATAGGAAGCCTCTTTCAGCTACTGACAGTACCAGAGAGCTGAGGCACAGACCCTATCCCGAGTAAGCTAAATCCATTCATGACAGGAAGAAAATCTGCTGGGATCAAATGCAATTAGATGGTGTGCCTGTCCTATCAGCTTTGTTACTTACTTGCACATGTGCCATCTGGCATAAGCATGTACCCGTTGAGACAATAGCACTTGTAGCTGCCATGTGTGTTCATACATCTGTGTTCACAGGGACGTGGTTTCAGTCCACATTCGTTCAGATCTGCAGAAGTCATTGGAATGAAGTGAGTGCTGGGTTTATATACCTATATTCATACATATAGGTCAATAATCTTGCCTAATGCCTTGAATTCCCCACAGTAAAATCGCCTGGACTGAAAATGAGCCAGCCCCTTGCAAGATGAGGGTTTAGCAGACCATCTGGATGAAAGATTGCTAGCAAACCCAACATACACAGACCTCTACACCTGAAAAACTAATGCAAACTCTGGCCACATCTGGCAGCTTGTTCGGAAGAGGTGGAGGGGTGGGGAGAGAATTGCAGTTGTTCTCTTTTCTGGGAGTTTTTTTTCTGGATTTCTCCAATTCTAGCTGGAGATTTTAGCCCTCCAGTTGACCTCTGTACTAGAAAGGCAAAACCATGAGACTAAGAACAGCAAGTCAGCTTGAGATAAAATGAAACAAAGATTTTGGGTGGGTTTTTTTTTTTCCTCAGCTACACATTAGCACCATGGTTCTCAGTAGCAGAAATTAATATAATATATGGTAAGAATTATGTGACTTTAAGAATAAAAGGACAAATTTAAAAAAAAAAAATCTCAAAATCCTGAGAATAAAAGCATCCTAAAATCTTCTCAAAATCCAGAATTTAAAAGGCTTTGCGTGAACTAAATTAATTTCAAATTCCCAATAGCGGTCCTTCACAGGGAGAAAACTAGAATCCTAAAAAAATTAATTTGTGTGGTATAAGGCATGTGCAGAAATGTTTGCTACAGCTCAGCCCAGGGAAGAAAAAGAGGGCTGCATTCTATTATTTAAATGTAGGGTCTGTTTGAAAGAGGAAACCCCATCAGCTTGCAAATTGCACTGGGGTTTTGCGCTACTGTGGCTCCACTAAACAACCAAGACTCCCATAACAAAGAAACCAGAGGGGAACAAAAGTTATTCCCCTTAGACCACACATTTTCCAAAGTGCTTAGCTGCACCTATCTTGCACAATGCACAGTAATGCACAGATAGCATACACAGCTCTAAAAGAGAACCTATGGAGATAAGGCTAATGTAGCTCAGACTCAGTGGCAGACTAACACAGTCCCCTTATCTCTGTTTTTTTAATTAGCTCATGTTGAAAAAGCATTCTCCTCAAAGGACAGACCAAAGCTACATCTGCTTGTAAATTAGAGGTGGCTCTGAGCATTCCTGGCTGCTGGAACATGGCCATACTATTGAAACAGCTCCAGGACATTCCTTGTCTATGCCAGCCACCACTTTACTAAAAAATTCCTGGCCGTGTTTCAGAAGGTAGAACAGCCCAGGGAGCTAACGGGCAATTTGCACGTGTAGGTCTGTGCGGTGCCTCCACCAAGCCTCAGGCTCTGAAGCTTCTACAAGTGCACAGAACCGATCTGCTTGTGTACAGAGGCATATCAAATCCAGCTGGAACTACTGCACAGAAAATACCTAAAGGTTGTGGGCTTCTCTGTTGCCTTTTGGTAACATTTACGTTGCCAATCATTTAAACTTCTGGGTTTAGAGGCTGAAGTTGTAAGTGATACCTACAGATCTATTGCACACAACCACGGCTGCCGTTTCACTTTCTTCTCTAGTGGCACTGAAGAATTGACTTATTTCCCCGCAAGAAACATCAAAAGTGCAAAAGATGGAGTTTTCTGAAATACTTAACAGTACAGCTTCAGAGCATATTCTTTGAAAGATACTGTGTAATAAATGGGTTGTTTTGACTCTAAAAAACATGAGTGTGTTTAGTATGTCAACACAACATTTTCAAGCAAAGGCTGCATGTGCTTAGGAAGGTAGCAAGGATAGACCCATCCATTCGCGTCGCCTTGATGTGGCTTCCCTCATACACCTGCAGTTCACTCATCTGCACTGCAATAGTATTGCCCCTCTCCGTGCACGGCGACCTGCTCCTTTCATCTGATCCAACACAGGGGTCTCATATATTGGAACAGGAAAAAAAAAAAGCTGGGTTTTCGCCAATGTGTTAGCTGAAATATTTTAATGCAAACTGCGAGTTTATGGAGGAAAAGTGGTGCAATCCTAAAGACTCCAAATCCTGTGTTCTCAAAAATACCGATCAGCATATGCAAACAAATGGCATTTGGCCCAGGAAGCTTGAGAAATTACATGTCTAGCATATGAGAAAGTTAGTTAAACTAACACTGCTTCCTGGTTAAGAAAATAACACTGGTTCGGGATTTGACTTCTGGCTCTTCTAATCATTTCCTACATAATCTCTCCACGCCTTAAGCCTCTGACTATAAATATGACAGTTTGCCCTTGTCATCAGCCCGCAGGAGGTACACAATATAGGTTCAAACTTCTGTGTGCTGATGGAGGCTTAGAGCTTGGCTGTGCGCTGGAGGTGCAAGAGCCTTAAGCTCTAAGCTTTTCTGCGTAAACAAGAAAATATCTTGCTTTATTGTCTTGGTAGCTGACACAATCCTTACTACAAGATAAGGAGACAGGACATCAACAGTCTGCTTTCTGGAGTAATACCCCCATGTGCACAAACCTTGATTACAGGTTTTCCCTGTAAATCCATGGAAACATTTGCATTTGTTTGGTCCCATGCACTCGCCATACTTGCAGCCACGTTCACAGATAGCTGGGGGAGTCAGGCAGAGAAAGGAGAAAGAAAAAGAAAGAGTTAGAAATATTCTATTTGAGAACTTTTGCCCTGCTTAGTTGCCTAAAAACTTGTTGCACAAGTGCAACATCCTCCATACCTCCCCCTCTAGTCTGGGCATGGTAGCTACTGATCAGCACTTTATTTCTGCTGGAGAAAAGTGATACTAGCAGAGATTACAAAAGTGTGGGCTTTTCCAAGTTTGTAAAGGCCTGGAAAAGAAGGGGCTCCTTTTAGCTCTCTCCCTCATGTTTTTTCTGCCATGCTTACAATTCACAGTTAGTTTTGTACTCTTGCCCTTTTCCTATTTTTAGGAAGCTTATGATGTGAGAAGCAGCTAGCCAGCAGCTTGACTTGATACACTTTGCATCTGGAGTAAGAAAGAGGCAACAGCACTTCTGCAGCCACAGGAGACACATTACACTACAGCAGTTTTCCACTCTTGGACCTCCTCACTTACAGCCAAGGAACATGCCCATCCCATGGTGGAACATCCAGAACACATCCATCAAACGATCAGGCAGCTATCCTTACCGCACATCCCAATATGTATAATGGCATCAGGTTTGAAATGACTCGAGAACGCTGTGCTTAGCCTGGATGCATTAAAAAGTAAACATTTTCTAACTCTCAGCCCTCTGGATCATTAGTCAGAAAATAAATGTTGGCTTTTATAAGGCTTAAGGCTGCTAAAGTAAATGTGATTGTCAACTTGAGGGTTATTCAGGAAAAGCAAACCAAACATGCTCTTAAATCAGGACTAGCCCTGGAAAAACAGCACAAGAGTATGTACCAGGATGCACATCTCGCTACCTGGTGTAATTTAGCTGCTATCCAAACAACAGGAAATAGGAAAGCCACAGTGTAAGTCACTATACAGAAAAATTCTTAACTAAAATTCATACCGCTGCATTCAAGCATCTTTCTTACATTTAAAGATTCATTCAGACATATTAGCTCTGCAGATTAAGGCATATTTCAACACTATCCCTATCCCTGAATGCAACGTGGCATAGTACGAGATCAGCTGAGTATTAACACTGAAGCGGAGAACAGCACTGCACCTGAATTTACAATGCAGAATTGCATTATGTTGGCTTAAAAACATCTGCCAATGAAGAATCTTGAAAGTTTACGAAAACTGAATTTTACTAATAAAGCACGCTATGGTTTTGCAACAAGACAGCTTACTCCACTGGCTGATCAAAGTTACATTTGCCAGTTGCCCCTCAAAGTATTCATTTGCATCAAAACTAAGGTGCTATTAAACAATGCATAAATATTAATAAAGGTATTCATCCATTTTTCCATTTTTAAACTGTCATGCTATATATACAGAGAGACTTTTTGCATTTTTCCCTTTTAGACAACAGTCTGATCGTTTTCAGCAGCAAATAACCCTAAGCCTCTACTCAAATTCACCAGATATACAATGCCAAGCTCTCTGGGACAACAGGTGCAACATCTGAGAAAGATTCCTAAACTATGTTTTTTATGACTTTGTTGTGTTTTGCCCAAGTACAGCTAGAGAGATTCCACATCACCTTCTCCTTGGGATCCGAAGGCCTTTAACAAATTTGCAATTTCTTAAAAGTCATCAACTCTTCATTAAGCCGATGACCCACAGACCAGAAGGCTGGCCAGCTACCCAAGCTCAAGTCAGGTGCTCTTACTACTTGGGTTTTATTTATATATTTAAAAAGTTAAAACACCCTGGTTCTCAGAGGCTGTGCGCTCTGAAGATAAAGGACACCAACTGATTAAAAAAACACTTCAGGGGCCTATATGTAGCATTAGAAGACTGCATTTTTGGCACTTAATTGACAGCTGTAACGGTACAGGCACAGACCAGAACAGATGGTCCCTTCCAGACCTAAGAATTTTTGAGCATGTATTTTATTGTTTGGTGTTATTTACCCGAAGCTCTGCTTTTTTTGAGGAGATGCTCTTTCAAACGTGTTTTATTCACACTCTCTCAGAGTTAAGAGATTTTGCTCCTCAGAAGGCTTATTTCTGTAACTTCTAGCAGATGTATATGAAATCCCTTTATTAATACCAAGTACAACAGCCACGGAGAGGAAACGAGCATAAAGTGTTAATGGTACCTTCGCAATGGCCCTTGTTGTTCTTTTTCCAGCCATAACAGCAGTCCAGCCGAGAACCATAGCGGCACACCCCACGCTGGCTCGCAGTCACCCACTGCCCACGAACTCTTGAGCTGCGTAAAGAAGGATAGACATTAGCTCCAGCAGGAGCACACACTTTAATCCATTGCTCCGTATACTCCTTTGTACATTTCCCTCCTGTTTTATCCACTGTCAGGCATTTTCATTGCACCAAACCTTGGAGTATTCGATAGTGTTCCTAGACCAGAATGCGAAGTTGCATTTGGTTGGAAAAACAGGGGAGATGGGAAAGTTTCGCCTGCAGTAAGTTAACTGTGCAACATAAATCCTTTCTAATGAGAAACATGGCAAAGGCAAAAAATACAGCCAGGTCCCCTGCTCGAATGAGTCATTTTTAACATCAGTGAAGTCAATGGGGCTGCTCCAGCTTGCGTCTCATGAAGAATCTGGATTGGATATATGATGCCATACCTGACAGCACTATTGCGATGAAAAAATACTATTTCTACAGAAAAGCAGCTTTCTGAACATCAGTCAGCCCCACAAATGTGAGTGACTTGCAGGCTTACAGCTACTGCATAGGTGCAAATTGATCGCATAAGTGCGGCCAGCCTGTCCATTCTGGTTGCACAGGACTCGCTGACCATACAAATTAATGCTCATTTAATTTGCCAATAAGCCACATGCCTGTCCCCTTTATGAAATTCTCTTCTTTATGCAAAATCCTCTGTCCCCACTGCTTTTTCCAGGCCATAATTTAAAATGTTTTTTCTTCAAAGAATCCAAAGTGTTGTTTCTGACACAGAAAATACCTTATCTGCAAGAGCTTTCTAGTAAGTGATTTGGGGTATTGGGGGAAGCAATACACAGCAACAGATATCCCTATGGTGAGGGGGGGCGGGAAAAAAAAAAAAAAAAAAAAAAAAGACTCAAACTAAATCATCCAGGGATTACACTAACAGAAAATGATGCTCTTGGTATGGAAACTATTAAAGAAAACCTGATTTTGTCTTTATATACAAAGCAAAGACAACCCCTATGGGGGGGGGGGGGGGGAAAAAAAAAAAAAAAAAAAAAAGGAAAAATCAACAGGCCAGGAACTTTTGCATTTTTTAGCCTGATGCACAATGAAGGCATTGCTTTACCACCTTATAGCAGTGCTTTGCACATACCCTCCCGTGCTTATCTGTAAGTGTTGCACTTGTATTGGAGCAGTTACTGCAAACATCACTAAGGCAAACTAGTAAAATAAATATATGCATACACTTCAAAGATACAAGGTGTTACTTCAGAGTTTTCTTTAGTAGCAGAACAATTGGAAAGAGGAAGAAGTTCAGAAACGCATAAGCTCATGTATCTGAGATACCCTGGATGAAGAGATGGTTCTCATGTCACCTGGCAAGTCAAAAGACTTCAGTGTTGGAATAAGTTGTTCTGAAGTCACCCACCCTTTGCCATCAGCCCAGTGATGTGGTTTACAGGAGTACATATACCCCATCTTCAGGCTGGAGAAAAAGCGTATTGAACAGCCATGACTCCTGGATGTGTGTCTATTAGAAATCAGCACCCTGCCTCTGGATTTACAGAGAATAAAATAACCTTTTTTTCATTTTGTTCATCCAAATGCTGTTGGCTTACATTACTCATAAGTATACAAGTTAAAGAACATATGTTCTGCATGCATGCTATAAAGTGCCCTTGAATTCACCTGGATAGTAAATGTATATTCTCCTTCCATCTCAGAAAATCCCCTTGAATGCAGCTGGATAGCGCTATGACTCACCTGGAAGGTTAAAATGCCTAAAGCTTGGAGGAAGCAGGATCTCTTTACTTTCCAAAACATGCTTATTTTCACAGGAAGACAAACTCATTCTGTCTTGTTTTATTTAATAATTCACATCAAAATCAAACAATGAAAGTGTCTTTCAAAGTATACAGTATCTCATAAGATTTCCAGTATCTCACAAGATTTCTGTACAAACTTGTCTTAAAACCAGGAAATGTTCCACGGAACAGGAAATAGAATGAACATAGCTGAGCTTTATAGATACTGCCCTGGAAAAAGACTTTTACTTGTTCTGACTTCCACAACGAGCACCAAGTTAAAGCCTACCTTTGGCTGTGGGAAAGGTCAACTAGATCACTGACAGCCCACCCGGATCCCAAAATCTGGGAGGAAAACCAGTTTTGCCAGGTTAGTCCCTCTAACCAGTGAAGAACCACCAGGCATCAGCTCAGCTATTGCTGTCAGGAGTTCAGCATTTTGTACAAAGGAAAGAAATCTAGAAAGAGTAGATCCTTGCAGGCAGGCAGATCTGTTCTGGGAAAATGTCACATGGACCCTCCTGGATGCTGGGGGAGAAGTAACGCACACTGGAGGCACAGGATGCTTCTGAGCCCTCCCTATATGATATTCTTATAGGATTTCACAGGGAGTACCTAGAGGCCTGGGTGAGATTGCTGTGCTTGTCGCTGTCTGCTCAGTGTGCAAAAAACGCCTGGCCTTGAAGACACTGCAGCCCAAATGCGTGACTGAAGAAGAAAGGCAAGAGAAGGGAGACTGCACAGGTCGAATCACTGTGTAGGTGAGCAGCCAGAGTGGTCTCCGCCTTTCTAGCAAAGAACTTGGTCCTCCGAGGGTCAGCAGCTTACAGCACTAGTGCTAAAGGCAACATGCAGCAGCCTGAGCCATCCAGGGTGCCCAGGCAGCAGAGAAGTAACCCATTTTATGTTGCTGTGACATTGCTGACACCAGTAGAATGGCATTTGGCCATTTAGAACATGATGAATAACAGGTCCTATTAATATGCTGCCTTTTACCAAAGTTTTCTCCAGAAAGGAACATTATGAGCTTTTTTTTCCTTCAAGACACAGCTGCTGAATAGATTTAGCACATTGTTTCCACACAATCTCTATAGGATGCTTTTGGACACCTCTTGCCCCTACAATAGCTGCCTGCTGCTGGGGGGGTGATGGGGGGAAAGTCTAAGTTATATTTTTAGCAGCTTCCTGTTAACTTCAAAGACAGGATGTTATCCCTTTCTTTAACCTTCCTCTTAAAAATTTCTGGACATTGTTGCTAGCAAAAAACCAACTGGCACCAAACCTAAAATTTTGATCGAGCGGTCTATTTAAAAGGACAAAAAGACAGTATCTTGCAACTTAGCAGTTTGAAAGAAATTCCTAAAAAGTCTGTTATGAGCAGATGTCATGCAGAGATACATTTGAACATTTTTCCAAATAAAGGCAATAGGGTTTTTTTTTGCTGTGGTGGTTGGTTGTTTCTTGGGTTGTTTGTTTGTTTTTACCCAAGTTTATTTGAAAGGCAACTTCCTTCTAGAAAAAATTTAACCTATAGTTGTGTTAAGGGAAGTCAAAAAAGTGCCACCCATTATTTTTTAATTATTGTATCTTAGATATCCCTTCAGCCTGTTTCAGGCACTTGGTGTGACAACAGCCCTGCTTCACTGCCAGTCCCTCCCAAAACATCAAACGAAGTTTAGCTTGGGCTTGCAGAAGTTCCTTTAAGGCTTCATGTACCCACCCCGCTCCTGAAAGGACGTGCTCATAGCAGAAAAGTTAAAAGTCCAGGTATGAAACCTACACTTCTAAGATACAAAAATAATCATAATTAAGTAATTTTTTTCCAAACAGATTCTAATTTTTACTATTTCCCATTCCTTCTTCCTAGGTATTCAGAGCCGATAGGATTTCTTTGTCCTCTTAAATTAGTATCCCTTGTCAGCCAAGGCCCCCATCAAGATGTTTGAAAAATCTCTTTTCCCCTTCCTCCCAATGGAAAAGGCAGAATGCCAATCTTGGCAGAAAAGAGAGATGCCACCACCATCACCCGACATCAACTTGGACAAGACAGGCTGTAGGGCAGTCAGTCCTAGGTGGGTTGTAGGTTTCCCATAGGCATCACAACTTACTGTCAAATAATTACCAAACACATCCCTCTGTTTCAGCTAACTCCAGGCCATACTTTCTTCTGGGAGGAAACAATGTTCTTGCGGTTTTACACCTTTCAAAGCGCTTGATATGCAAATACACAAAGTCAAGAAGTTACTAGCACGAGCATTTAATCAGAGCTCTGCCTTGAGAGCAAATGTAAACACATTTGTAAGAGCAGGTCTGGAGTTTATAAACCTCCAGTTCCCGAGGAGCTGACGGCTTGCTTGATAGCCTTGGGTGCGCTGGAACAGCACTGCCACTTGCTGATCACAAACATCCCCATTCACAAACCTGATGCTAACCAAATAAACCACACAACACCTTGAAGGCTTCGCCCCCCCGTGGCTGTGAACTCTCCTTTTGCTAACTACTCCCTCGCCACGGCACTTGCAGCCTTTTATTTCCTTCTGGAGAACTGGGAGGGGGCAACACTGGAGTAGCTTAACCTGGAATAAACAGCTTTATTTACCCCCTCTCAAAATCTCATTCCGTTTCTGGCGTGTACCCGTCTCTGCAGAACATAACAACTGGCACGGCAGGCTGGTTTCAAAGCAAAAAAAGCTTTATGCAAGCAAACCAAAGACACGAGTGGCTCGCACCTTTCTGTGCGCGGGGTAGCTTGCTCTCCCCGTTCGGTCCCACACCAGTGGGCTGCGGTTATCGGTTTTCCCAGAGCAAAACAAGCCCCACAGCTTTGGCGTGACCCCCTCGGGGAAAGCGGCACGCACGCCGGCTGGGAAGCCTTCGCCCGCGGCCGAAC